GAGTAACCTCAGTAGCCACGGGTTGAACACGGCCGAGACATAGTCAACCTACGTGCCTGAAAGACTATGTGGAGTGGACTCTCTACCCCTACCTGCTTCCCCTTCCAGCACCAGTCACACACACCACCACCACTAGCATTATCAACTAGGAAACACCCTCAACTCATTCATGTAAAACATTTAAAGTGTTTTTGTTTTGAATAATTCCATTTATGGGTCTAAGTTGCTAACTAGGCCTAATCTACTTTATTTTATTTAGTGGATAAGCAGCTCCTTCTAAAAAAGGGGCAGGAGGGAAAAAAGATTAATGGAAAGACTATCTTAATCAACTAGGGGAGACACACTGATCATTTATACAGGGTAGTAACAGTGAACTTGGTAAGATATAGTCAGATTCAGAGTGTAGTTTGGAGAGCCAAAAGGATTTTCTGATGGATCACATTTAAGAATGTCAACTACAATCTTGAAAGTTCTTGTAATTCTTCTATATTCTTGTGAAACTGAATAACTGAACAGAATTTTCTGACTCACTTTTGACTTAGAATAGAATCCACAGAATTCCATAGTGCATGCAAAACAAATCTCCTTCTCATGCAGAATTTCAGAGGAAGTGAAAGAAACTTCATTCTGTGATCCTTGGACTTTAGAGAAAATTAGGCATAGAAAAAGGGTCAGAAACCAAATTTGATTAAAAGGATGTCCTTGGAGAAAATTGTGAAATACAGCTTCTTCCAGGATTGAGGTAGTAGAAGGAGAACCTGTCAATTTCATCTCAGTCCTACTGAGGGGCTTTTCTCAGGACCAGACAGAGCTCTGAAATATTCTCTCTGAAATGGTGCCTAACATATCAGAGGAGACCAAATCCTGTGTGGCAGGAGGACAGAGAGGGCTACTCTAGAATCTGTGCACTCCCACAGGTTCACTGGTAAGCATTTACACCACACAGATGTGAGTCACATGACAAAGAAGGGGTCTTGTGGGCTTGTCTTGGGCTCTGTTTAGTCGGTTGTCTGGAGGAAAGAAAGCAGCTCTCAGCAGAAAGGGGATAAGAATTTACAGCACAAGATGCTCAGAAATATCACACATATGTGGATTCTCAGGACATTCGATGACTAGAGAGCTCTCCTTGCATCTCTTCTAGATAGAAGAATCTCCCAGGAGGCCATTAATGTGCCACTTAGGGAAAAAAGAAAGCTTCATTTAGAGAAGACCTCTCTACCCACCCCAAGACAGGAAGGACAGAACCCAGCTATTGAGTCCGAGTCGGGGTAGGTAGAGAGGAGGGTGAAGAATAGACAGACAAAGAGGAAGAAGCCAAGCGTACCACTGCTACCCTACCCCAGAGTTTCACCCTGAAGGTCTCCAGCCCAAAGTGGACCCAAGCTGGGCAAGGGAGAAAACATTGCATTAAATCGGTTTTGGAGTTTTATTAATATTTCAGATCATGCATTCAAAACACCAAACTAAATGCATACTTGTGATTTGAAGGTACTGTAGAACTCTGTATGTCAAACAACGAGCAGAAGGGTCATGGAACCTCTCTGTCTTTTCCTTCTGAAACAGGGGAAGATTAAGCCACTGAATAAATTTAAAGAGACCACGGTACACTAAAATACAGTAGAGTCTTAACCACATTATGAACCATGCTTGTTCAATACACTGACTCAATTCATGACAGAAGTAATGTGAACATTTCTAAACACAGTGAATTGTAACAGAGAACTTTAGGTGGGAATGACCTATTATCTAACAGGAGTTTGGAAAGCACTGAGCTCAGGCTACCCAATATGTGATAGAATTTTCTTATCAAATGTATCAAGCAGCTGCTTCTCTCCTGACTTGGGAGAAATGAGGCACAAACACTACATTTCTTAAATGATCTATAAGAAAATGCATTGTCTAACACAATTTAAAACATAAGAGATTCCTCTTCAGTTTTGAGCTTTTTATCTACATGGAATGCTATTCTTATTTACTTTAAAGTGTTCTCTGTTTTAAAAAAAAATCATATGACAAGTCCAGAAGTGTCCCTAGAGGTTTAAACCTATCCATACTCCCTGCTCTATTTTGTCCATGGATTTTCTCAAATGGTAATGGGAATTCTATGAACTACATTTTCTTGTGCTTGTTCAGGAAACCTGATCTATGGATCTGGATAAGAATGAGGGGGAAATAAACCTAAAGTTCTATTTTTATTATATCCATGACACAGTTATCTAAGACATTGCAGAGGTCTACAATACAGAAGACCTGAAAATTTATTCGATATACTAAAAAGAAACCCATGATTCTTTAACTGAATTTCTTAGCCTTTGTGTCAGAAATCAGATGCCTCACATTATTGTAGCAGGTTTCATCACCAGTTTAATCTAGGACCTGTTAACCAAAGCTATTTCTACATTCGCAAGATTATATACAAAATTGATTTTATGAATTATGTGAATGGCACTGCTGAGAAGTTCCACTGGTAATGTAATATGACTATGCAAATGTACAATTCAGATAAATTGAAGGCATAAAAATAAATTATAAATTGGAGAAATACATTTTTAGGGCATTATTTATTTATTTTAGGTCATTCATATAAAAGTTGGAAACTCCTTTGTAAGAACACAGATGAAAATTGCTAAGTAGGAAATATAGGAGGAAAATCATTCTCTGAACAAGTATTTGCTGTGGACTGAGTTAGTCCTTGTCAGAAGGTGACTGAGCAATAGGCATTTTATTCTGGACATTTTGCTGCTCGTACAGGGATTCAAAATAGTTGGAGATGACCCCATGGTCAAACTAGATTTAATGTGCCCTTTTTCTGTCTTTGATAAAATAATCGATGAGAGATTCTATATTGTATCCATGACATTTAAGTATGGCAATGCTGTAATTAACCTCACAATTATTATAGCAAGATTTAGCAGCATTATTTCATGGCTACTTGGAAAAACATGAGCTTAAAAGCAAACAAAGACAGAAACAATAAACACTGGTGATTATAAACAAAGAAAAACACTGGTGTACAGGTTTTCCTTTGAGATTTGGGGTGGAGAAAGAATCTGGTTACTCAGTGAAACAAGGTTTACAAGGTGCCCCATTTCACCAGCAGAGAAACCTAAAATAGGAAGGTTAAGATACTTCCATTCATGGACCCTATCTTTTTATTTATTTCTATATATTATTCCTTGGTATTCTTATATTCCTCACAGAATTAAAAACTCCTTTGAGGATAGGGATTAGTCATTTATCTTTGTAGTTACACCCATGCATTCCTTACAAATTTGCTGAGTCATTAGCATATGGTAGTGGTCCGGTATTAGTCTCTAAAATTAAACAACTGAAATAGAGACCACATTTCATGGATTTTAAAACCCTTATTTATTTTTACACTTTAGCTTTCTAAAATCATGATGTGTCTTACATTCAATAGACTTTTACAGGTTCTATCAGCTAGGCACAACAGTGGTGATTTGGTGTGGATTATAAATGTTAACAACAAAGAGGAATGTTGTGTAGAAAACCATAGTCATGAAAGACTGGAATAAAAACAGATTTTGACATTGCGTTGGTTCTGTGTGTGAAGTTTCAGAGATAATTTAATCAGTTTATTTTTCTTTTAATTTCCTTTTTATGTATGCTAGTACGTGATTTTTGCTGTAAAAGAAAACCTAAATGTAAACAAAGCTGAAATACTTCTCTCAATAACTTTCTATCTTAGAAGGAAACACTGTGGTAGCTTAATTGGCATTAGATTTTATTTTGCACTGATATAGAAAAAATTGGTACATTTCACAATACTAAATATTGCATAGCTTAAAATTTTGTAGCAGGTAATGCACTATTTACAGTGTCTTGATTAACACTATAACACCTTGCAATATTTGAATAGAGTATATATTTGGTCAAGTAGAATATTTCTGATAATTTGGATAACAGATAGCTGTGGTCATTAAAACTACAATATATATTCACAAAAATCACAGATATTAATCTTAATATACTCAATTATATTTTACTTCCATTGTAATCCCTCATCTTGAGAAATTTTTATTCATCTGCAGGAAGAGACCTCTTGGGCATCTAAGTATCTTTTTGAATTTAGAGGTATGGCATGGATGTCCATCCTCCATCCTCAACCCAGCACCATGCCAGGGGAAGTGAGATGGGAAGAACCATAACCTCCTTGCACAGTAACTTTATATGCTCTAAAACAGAGGGATAGTGTCTCCTCTACATGTGGGACCAAGACCCCAGCTTGTAGCAGCCCCACTAGAATAACACTGCTGTTGACTTAGCTACCCCTTTACATCAGTTCCTCAAATAAATTTTGCCTTTTACTATCTCTGACTTTTCCATGCCTTTCCCTAATCTCAGTCTGTTAAAACATTACCCAGGCCTGGTGAATATGTCATTAGATATTCCCCAATAACCTTAGCCAGAAGGTACTATAATTTTTTACATGTCTATAGCTTTTGCTTATTCTTGCCAAACACTGTATCATATGGCTATTATGTATTTTATGTTCACTATTTGACAGCAGAATCCTTGATTAAAAGGTAATGTTTTATAGATCTCTATATAATTCCACAATTCAAAATCTGCTTGATGTAGGGATTAAACAAATGTTTATTAAACCTTAAATTGACTTAAATTGATACAATTGTTAAATTCCTAAGCTAATACACGATCTGTATGACAAGGTTTAAAACTCTTCACCACATATGCAATTTCATTATTTTTTTTTACTAATATAGAAACTATTCAATTGTGTCACTAAGAATATGTTATAAAAATTATTCAATGCAAATATAAAGCATAGTTATTAAGATTTAAGAATTTTAGTTTCCATTTATAATTAAACATCATTATCATTTATAAGTAATTTCTATGTATGTTTCATATATGAGCCATATTTCAGGAAATATTTTTATGTTAAATATTATTTACTTTTATGTGATATCCTGGTTAACCCAGAAATCTATGATGTAATACTCTCTCAGCAAACTTACCTCTCACAATAATGTTGGTGGACTTTTTTGCAGGATTTCCCACATTATTATTGGCAATGCAGCTGTAAGTACCAGCATCTTCTGAGGTGATGGCGGGTATGGTCAAAGTCCCTCCATTCAAAACAGTCTTTTCAGGCAGGGTCCCAAAGGACCTGACCCAGGTAAGAGAGGGTGCAGGCTCTCCTCCTGTCGTAACACATACTAATGTTATGGCCTCTCCAGGATTTACAACTATAGGCTCATCCACCAAGAGCTTAATTGACGGAGATGCTAAAAGACATAAACAAAAGAACATGCACCTATTTAGATCTACTACAACTAGCACTCATAAGCATGCTTTATATTTATTCAAACAATTAAAATGAAATATTGTTCTCTTGCTAAAATCTTACTGCATTAATCAAATTTAAACCAGATGTAATGGTTACATATTTTAATTATATGGTATAAACTTGTAGAACTGTATTAAAATGTTACATATGGAGAGGGGAATTATATTTTATGTTTTCTTGGATTATTGCTCCAAAATTAGAATGACAAGAGGGATTAAAGTCTTTAAACAAAAATCCCTTTCTCTTTTGGTGCTGACAATCACCATTTGTTTTTGTCCTTCCAGGTATAAACATTGCAGCTGTTTAGTTCTTGTATTTTCATGATGAAGATTGTCAATTTTTAAATTTTGGGGGTAATCTGAGGTGAAATGATACATTTTTGCAAGCTGAACACAAATGAGTAAAAAGAAATAAAGGCATAGATCATTCCAGTCTTTTACTATGCAGTGGACCTGGTGTTTTATCTCAAAAGGAATAACACAATTATCAAATTCAAATGAAGTTTCCATTCTTAACCTCTAACCTTTTCATTCACAGAGGTCTAAGGAATGAGTTCTCATAACCACTACTTTAAAACTTAGACACAATTAGACAAATGAGAGCTCAGACAGAGTCACCAAACTGTGCCTGCCACCCCTCCTATGTTGGGGTTACAATAATCTTCCCAGTGAAAATAAGTCATTTGCAATCTTTCAGGTTAAAAAAGACAAAGATAAATACCCATTCAGTAAAAATGCTGTGTTCCAGACTTTTCATCAAACACTCAAAATAGAAACTGCACAAAAACTATATTCCCATACAGCAGTCAGTGCTGGCCTTCATAATGAGTACCTAATAAAAACAGGGGGATGGTGTTTGTGTTCACACATTCAGAATTATTTTGTGCCCAAATTAAAATTCTATTGAATGAATCAATCCATATTAGAAACAAAGTGTTCAATTGTATTGTACGATTTTTTAGGTATTAGCTTCAGTTTAGAGTTAGAGAATGTTGTCCTCAGAATAAAAGACAAACTCCATGTGTGGAAATTTTCTCCATGTTGATCCTTCTAACATCATTTTAAGTAAAGTATCTTCATAACCCTTCTGAGGTGTTGACTTTAAATTATAAGGATTTATGATTAAAAACCTGTTGGGAAATGTACACAATGAAAATATGCAAAAGGTACTGCAGTTTGGTAGAAAGTATCTCAAATAATTATTTAATGCTGTCAAACTTATGGAAAATAGTACTAATTAAATATTTTTAAAATTCTAAATTATTGATATATCATCATGAAAAAGTAACAAAAATTCCTATAGCCCAATTTGAGGTAGATAGTATAATCTTGCAAAGGTATTTAGTTAAAACTCAATTCTAGACATTCCAATATTTGTATATTTACAAAGCTCATTCGTTTTACATTAGATTTTAGTAAATTAAAAATCCCAAGGGCTAAGGGCCATTAGTAGCATATGTTTGGTCTATGGAAACACACAATGGTGACATCAAGTCAAGAAATATTTGCCCCTGAAATTGACTTGTATAAGGATGAGTTGTGTTTGAGATAGTTTTTAGATAGTTCTATGATAGTTATCTAGATAGTTGTTAACTAACTAGATAGTTAATATTAAAAAAAAAAGCTTAAGAGAACTTCAAAGCTCAAAGAAAGAAAACCCCTATATCACAGGAAGACCACTGTTTTACCCACAATGCACTGCAGAACTATATTCACAATCTTACTGGGATTTATCAAGCTTAAGTCTAAATCATGCCCTAGAGAAAAAAATTAAAGTAGGAAAAAGATAAAAATATTTTTTTCTATTATTACAAATACTTTTAAGAAAAAAAATGGTGGTTACCATGGGAGAGGGGATTGGATCGTGGGTGGGAAGGGTGAGGAGGATAAAGAGACACAAAAATCTCAATCATAGTATAAGTTGGTCATGGGGATGGAAGTGCAGCATGGAGAATACAGTCAATGGTTCTGTAATATCTTTCTATATTGACCGATAGTGACTGTGTTAGCTGGGATGAGGATTTAATAATGGGTGTTACTGTTGAATCTGGTGTTTATTAACTATCCTTCCATAAAAAAAAAATAAAAAAATTAATTTCTTATTGGAAGGATTTTTTTCAAACTTGGAGGTATATAAAAGAGTTATGCAAAACATCCTGGACTGGCTATTTCTTCTTACAGGCTTTCATAGGCCCCCTATTTTTCTTTTCATATTATATTGCATAATATTAGCCAGGCAGCCACTGTTGCTCTTCAGCCTGAAGTAAAGTGTCCTGATTGCGTCCTCTGAAGTATGGCATGATGGTTGAATGGTAAGATACACTTGGTTCGACTCTTGACTGTGTTATTATTTAATAACTGCTTCAACTTGGGCAAGTTTTTCAATCAGCGAGTGACTGATTGAAAACTGAGTGACTCAGTTTCTCACTGCTGAAATGGAGGAAAGTAATTATTAACTATCTTACAGCATTGAGATGAATTAATGTGTAAAGTGCTTACAGTAGTACCTAGCATAAATTATGCACTGAGATAAGTGTTTTCTTTTGTCATTATTTTTATTACCAGCCCCACTGCCTGGTCCAGGGCTTGGCACATAATGGGTGCTTAATAAACATTATTTATAATAAACAAATAATAAATAAAACAAATATAATGTAATAAAATATATAAATAAAATAAAATAAATAAAAATACAATAACATAATGTCAGATATTATTAATATATTAATATTATATTATGTATATTACTTATTCAACATAAAATATAATTAGTAAGGCAAATCCATAAGGAGGCAAATGAGTGAGTTACTAGCACAAAAAATGTAGTCACTGTACAATGCAATTATTCTATTTCACTCTGATGCATACAGAAGACATATTTTAAAATCATTTTTGACTATTGGAGGTCCTACACCACATCATATAAAATATATTTAGATACACCCATATACATTTTTAAGAAACATAATCAAACTTTTTTGTGTTAAATAGTTTACAGTACTTATTATTTGTAAGTTGAAATTATTGGTTTTTAATAATCGTTGTTTTCATAGAGCCTTTAAAATGTCTGTGCAAGTAAATGCTATTTTTTTCACAGTGTGCTCAAACTGTCCAACAATCTTGAGTCTATGCATTATAAGCCTCCTCTTCAGCACTTGTGTAGGTATATGGAAATGAAGAAAGATGATTCTTATTGTACTGGATAAGGTATGTAGCTGAGTGTTCAGTATATGTCTACTTCATGTGTTGGTCAAAATTCCCCAACACTATGTAAATAGAAACATGTAAGACTGTGGAGATCATCAGTTCTCCTATTGGCATAAGAAAAATTCATTGCTCTGAAACATTCTATAGGAGCTAGGCATCCATTCATTCTTACACCAACATGTGGTAGACAAATGACTATTTTGAGCTCATTTTTTAAGAAATAAAGAAATCAAAGATGAGGCCTGCAAAGACAAGGGGATAAGAAAAACACTGAATGGATAGCATGTAATTTTTATTTGGGATGTTCATCAAACAAAATTAAAAAAGTGGAAAAAGGTTAAATACATAGAGTAAACAAAGGAAATCTTTCAAATTAAGTAAAAAACCAGATGTTGTTTTAAATATGTTTTATAGTTATTGCCAAAATATGGCTCAAATTACATAAAAATAATTTCTCAACTAAGTTTGCTTATAACATCATACACACACATAGATACAGACACTACTAATTATAAACATGCATGTAATATGGTGCTTGTAAATAACTGTAGTGCCAATCAAAATTTCAGAATGATAATTTTTCCAGCACTTAATGTTGCAAGGCATGGGTCACCAAAGCAGCTGTCAGAGACATGACTCTTCTCATTGAGACCAGTGCACCAACATTCTAGCATCCTTGATGTGCTCTGTGGTAGGAATGTGATAGATAGATAGGTTAGATAGATAGATAGATGATAGATAGATAGATAGATAGATAGATAGATAGATAGATAGATAGATAGATAGATGATAGATAGATAGATAGATAGATAGATAATTGGATTATTGGTCAGGGAGAGATGTGATAAAGTAGGATAAACAAAGAGAGACAAAGAAAGGGAAGAGGGGAAAAGAAAGAGAGGAAAGGCCAATTTTTGTTGCTGTTTTCCAAAATGCTACATCCTTACTAGACCTTCAATAACTGATATATGGAAAATAAATTTTAGGAAATAACTCTGAGAAGGAGAATTCTTCCCATGGTCCCTTAAGCTCCTTCCCTCTTGGCAAACCAAAAAAATTTTTCTTGGGCTGAGCAACATACTTTGGTGGGTTTGAGACAGAGAGAAGACTGGCCTCTTGATTCCACACCAAATCTTAAATGATTGGCTATTCAAGAGCAGAGAGGACCTGTGTGTCCATTCCTGGTCTGAGGTCACTGGGTGTGACTGGCTGGATAAACAAGGGCACAGTGAGTCTCAAGGGAAAGTTTCCATGCCTCAGGGGAACAGCCCTAGCTCCACAGTGGTGCACTGGGGGAGCAGAGACTGATAGACCTGAATGTGCCAAGACAATAGGAATGTAGGGTGTCTCAGGTGACACATGCTTACCAAAAGATTCAGACCGCACACTCCTCACCTTGGTACAACATAGCACCTAGAATTTAAACAAAATCTGGTGGAACTACACACTGGCTGAGAAAAAAATTTCTGAAAATACAGAAAAATAGGTGGTTGAAGTGGAAATGAAGTTGAATTATAAAATAATACAGAAAGATATTTCTTTCAAACCTGAGTTTGCAGACTGGGATTCATTCTCACTACAAATTTTAGTGAATCAGTTCCTCAGAGACTCTTCTAGATGTGTGAAGCAAAGATTTAGTTAGGAGTTGATTAAGAATATATTCTTTAGGAAGAAAATATTATTTTAGCTGAAATCAATGACTTCTTGGGTGTTTTGGCCTGGTTTTACTGCT